ATATGAGTAAATCTCCCTTTTCATATGAAATGTAGTCCTTTTAAGGGGTGAAATATAATCCTGAACAGAGACTCTATTTACCACTTAAGCCCTATTTTATGGTTTAAGTGTTGACCTTGCACTGACCCTCAGCACAGGGCTGAATTTCACCCTACAGTGAAAATCTGCTGGCTAGAGCAGTGGATTAGAGAAATTGGGGCTAGACATTTTACTATTTGCAAGACAATGAAAACAGGCTTATTTTAGACAAAAATGTTTCTGATTTATGAGAATTTTAGTGCAGAAAGGGGCTATTTTGGAGAAAGTCTTGAGATTAGAATTTCAGTTATATTTTTGGCAGGAGAGCAAGGAAGCCATTTCATTAACTTTTCACTGGAAGTTATATATGGAGGGCATTTGTGTACACAGCTGGGCAGCATAAAACAGGAGGGCTTTGTGTGAAAATATCCTGAAATGAAATTTCATTTCTGTATGACTTGGATCTGCGTTCCTGGGCTGCCGTGGCCAGTTTTGGATGAAACCATGGGAGGGCAGTGTGAGGCCCTCACACATTTTTCCCTTGCGTTTGCAATGGACGTAGAAATAGTGAACAGACCACTGCGGTCTCTGTGCAAAATCAGTGTCACCTTTTATAGCTTTATGTCAGTAGATAAGCTCCTGCCTGCTCCCACGTATCCATATGGCTGTAATCATCAAGTGATACCAAGAGATTTGTTTGTAAAGAACTCCAAAAGCCACATGCTGAGGCTGGTGTGAATTTAGCTCTGCTTTGACCTCCCTCCTTTTCCACCAGATGGCTGCTAATCTGGCACTAAATCACTGCCATGGTGGAAAGAGCCCCTGGTCCACGGGGAAGAGGCTGTGGCTGTGCTGTGCAAAGTGGGACCATCCCTGAGTCAGCCCTTGGGAGTGTTGCTCGTTCTTGAGTATGACCCTACTAAAGGGCATATCTTGTGTAGCTTCCAGATTTTACAGGGCCCTCCAATAACTGTGCTTGATTAGGAGCCCATGCTCTTGCTTGGGGTGTCATGATCTGCTTGTTGCACATCTCATTACAGAATCAGAGTGGTTTGAGTTAAAAGGGTCCTTTAAGGTCATCTCATTCCAACTCCCTGTCCAACACCTTCCACCAGACCAAGTTGCTCCAAGCCCCATCCAACCTGGCCTTGGACACTCCCAGGGATGGGGCAGCCTCAGCTTCTCTGGGCAACCTGTTCCAGGGCCTCACTGTCCTCATAGGGAAGAATTTCTTCCTAATATCTTATCTAAGTCTCTCCTCTTTTAGCTTAAAACCCTTCCTACTTGTCCTGTCACCATCTGTGTGGTCTCGTAGGGACGTGAAGCAGGGAAGACAGAAGCCCCTGCAGAGGACACTTCTCCAATATTACCTCCAAGTTACATTGGTCATTCTTTTCTTATCCACCCATATTCATATTCTATACACTGTCATTTATGTTATTTTGTGCATTTCAGGGCAAAACGTGAATAAGGAGGGATAATACATGCACTGAGGATTCCTGCTCTGGTTTCTCATGGCAGATGACTTTGCAACTGCTTCTTTGCAAATGAACTCGTGTTCCCCTCTGCCCAGAGGTTTTGCAGGTACTGGCATGGGAAACTCTATATGTCTGTCCAAAACTGCCTCCCATCTCCAGCAATGAGCTCTCCCTCATGGAAGGAAGCAAGCAGACATAACTGCCTCCACTCCTACACAAAATAAGAGTCATTGTCTGGTTTTGCTCCTGTGTCCCAGGCTTTCCTTGGGTTGGTTCTCATCAGTCAGTGCTAAGGTCAGACAAGCAGAACTGCCTTTTCTCAGTGCTCATTCATACTGATTCTGGTGGATTCGCGTGTGATGGTCTGATGCATAACCTCCAAATGCAGGGTTTCTCATCTTTAGAAATAGCAGTCTGAAGAATATTCCATACTATCAGAAAACACTGCTGGTGTGTATATATATATATATTTTTTTTTTTCTTTACCCTGAAACATCTTGGTATAGAACTGTGATCATTTCACTGTCCTTGTTCTCACTTTCAAGTCAGGGAGTCTCTCATGTTATCTACATGTGGACTTAAGTGCTAAGTGCCTCAAGAGGTACAGAGACGCTTTAGGACTTCCTTAAACTCTAAGCAAATGTAGAGCATACATTCACCAGTCTGCTCCCCCATGTACATTTTTATTATTATTTGATTCTGTGATCTGCTAGGTGCTACAGACTATCCTTCACCAAAAAAAAAGGCTTGCAGGACAAGCAAAAAACAACAGGAGAAGGCAAATATGGCATTGTCCTTTTAAAAAAATACAAACTAAGGCCATAATTATGTACACGTTTCTCTCCAAGACTGTGCAGACTTGTGCAACATTATTTTTTCCCTGTATCATCTTTAACTCTCATCGATACAAACCTATATTCCTAAACTACTATTTTTCTATAATACTTTTCACAAGGTTGGTTTGGTTTCTCTTTTCCTTTGGGGAGGAACTTTTCCCTCAGAATGAGGTTTTGATTTCTGCTTTTAGATGCTTCAAGACAGAAGCAAACTATCTTCATCCAAGAAAAAGGAGATTATAAATAACTGGCGGCCAGATTAAAATCCCACCCTACCTTGATTAAACAGTTTCTGATGTTGAAAGACAACCAAAAAAAGTGATAAGTACCTTATTTTGGTGTTGACCCACTGTACTACCAGTCCATAAACTTTTACTTTGCAAAGCATTAGGAAAAAATGAAGTCTAGGAAAGACACTAAAGCCACAGCCTAGTCTATATCTTTTTGTTTATTTCTGATACTATGTGGTTCATGATTGTTTCTTTTAGAAGGAACAAATAATCAATACAAAGCCATGAATAAAAATAACTTTTCTTTAACACTGGATGCTAAAAGAACATATAGTCTTCTTACTGTGCCTGATGGAAACAGTACAAGTCTGTTCTCCCCAATTCGTTGTTTATTGGAATGACTGAAATCTATACATGAGGTATTTTTAAAACATTTAAACATAGAAGTTAAGCTTCTGCTCCAGACAATTTGTTTCACCATATTCTAAAAACCCAGTGCATACCACAGAAGTGCTTAAAGCAAGAAAACAACAACAAAATTTTTTAAAAGTAAACTTCAATATTAAATAAAATAATCTCCATACTCTCATCTCAAGGAAAATTTGCTTTCCTCATGAGACAAGTTCAGTTATTTACTGAATCAGCTGCTGTACAAGACCCTCAAGGCCCCAGTTCTCTCTGTGGCACTATGGAAAGATGTGCCAATAGTCAACACTTGGCTCTTCCTGAAAGATTATAGCTCTTCCAAGTACAGAACAATCAAAAGGTTAGTAATGATCTAGAAACTTTGGATAGTGTCTCTCCTTAGGAAATGGAGAAATAAACCACTGTGAATTAGTGTCACTCAGTGAAATGAACTCAGGAATGTGCAGGGATGGCACCTGGCTCCTGGAGCAGGTCTGGAGCAGAGGATAAACACCAATATGGGACTGTGAGATCCCCTGCTCACAGATGTGGACCAGTCACGGTCCTCTGTACTTTTTTACCCCTTTGTAAAGCTGCAAATATCTTGTGTTCTACTCTCCTGTGATGGAATAAATACTCAATTCTGCTACATCTTTGCTGTTTGCAGGGTAAAGTCCAGTGCTATCTTGTGGGCTCAGACCCAGACCTCACTCAATTGTATCTCTCTCTCTGACGCTCAAACTACGAAGCTTCTGCTTGCAGAGTTTTTATTGAAGTTATCTGACCCCTTGCAAGCAGAGGATTTTGGGTGTCCAGCCAAGCAAAACTTCATCTTGGTCAATCAGCTCTGCTTTCATTTCTGCAGAAACACTGCATAAACAAGGAAAGCTGCAAGGCAGGGACATTATTTCAGGCCTAGTGTATTGCAAACTCCCTTGCAGCTAAAATATCTAATGTACAATTAACTGCATGAGCTTAAAATAGTGATGCACATTTCACAGGTGACATAACAGTGGCTAAAAATGAGCCTCTTCCCCAATATCCCCCCTGTTAATGTTTCAAAATATGAGGTCACTTGTTGAGTCTTTCCAAAATACTTTTGTTAGGATTAGAATATAACTGTTCTAATTAAAAACCATGATTTGCACCAACCACACTATGAATATTTAATTTCTGTCTTGGGCATCTTGAAAGTGTCTGCTTTGAAATTCTATTTAATTAGAATTCTACTTGTCTGTATGACAATAAAGTGATTCCTCTATGACCAACAAACATACATAAACACATAATAAGCCATGTCCTAACTTGGCAAATCTATTTTTTCAACAAGAAAATATCCTAAGAAACTTCCCTCTTTATGTGTACAGGAATATGCAATATAAAAATCTTTACAATTTTACGTCTTTTCCTTCTAAAGTAGTTTAACAAACAACATGTAGTACTTGAAATACTGGTATTTGTTGCACATGAGTTACTTAACTCCTGTTATTTTTCAGCCTTTAAAACTGGAAAGGTCCCCATACTTGTCTTTCATGACCTCCACTTTTGAGACTCTATATTTCTGTATATACAAGCCGCTGACAACTGATGCTACTTTATTCTCAGATAGCACACTGCCAAATCCAAAGATTCAGGCTTAACCTTTACTTGTATTTGAGAAAATCAAATTAATATTAATCTAATTCAGTAACAATTTAAGTGACTAAAAACTTTTCATCAGAATTAAAATGATGATCCATACTTCTTACTGGCTCACAGTTCAGGACAAATAAAATTTTCCCAGGAATGTGAGGATATTAGTAAAATGAGCTTTCAGTTTACTTTAAAATTTGGTAATTTAGGCCTTTCTGCAGCGTAAAAAATGGTATGTGCATGTTGCGTAGAAGTCAAGCGGTGGAATTTGTATGGTAGAAATTTCTGGTCATATTTAAGCCTATAGGGTATTTTTTTGCATTTTTCTTTCAAAAAATTATATAATAAATGCAAAATATCTCTGAACACAAACCAGTAACTAATAACTCAATGAAACTTACCTTTCTTCAGCCAAGAAATATTTTGCTTCTCATGTTCAAAACTTTCTGCTGGTTTGATTTTTACCTTGTCTGTCTTGTCTTCTGACATCTGTGGGGGAGAAAAGAATTTTGGGATATCTAGTTCTCTTAACAAAAGTTTGACAGAGAAAGATGTTCTCTGTTTATGTTCCTGCCATAATAAATTGTGCTTACTTACACAGACGCTTTTTTTCCTGCAGATTATCAATACTTTATAATATCTGAGCCATTGAATTTATGTTCTGTTCCTAAATGCTTTATCAATATTACATAGTTGCTGTTTGTAGAGGGATGCTTTTGTAATGTAACTATAAATTACATTGTGAAATAAATTATAAGCTCATAGCACGGTGGTAATAGATAAACATGTAACACAGAGTAGATACAGTCTGGCTAAAAAGGAGGCACCCAGGCTGCCTGTTTGTTCTGGTTCAAAGTTGCTGTAAAGCCTGCTGTCAGAGAGGTATAATTATACAAATAATAATAAATATTTATAAAGGTAATTTGAACAAAGTGTACCCCCCCAAAAAAATAAATCTTCACTGCACTTGCAACAATTTATTTGCTGTAACGCGAACGATCACGAACAGTCACAGTACCTGAGGGCATTGTGTGCACAGGAGCTCTCAGCCCAGGCACTGTGGTTTACTTCCACTGCCTGCTAGGAATAAGATTAGGCTGCCCAGGCTTCTCCTGACTGCTTCATATTTTCACTGAATCCAGTTAGGTAAAGCATTTCTCTATTTTTACCTGTGTATTCCGAGCGGGGGGGAGCAGCAGGGCTCAGTGGCTGAGGAGCAGCGCTTTCGGCCGAATCCCTCGCTGCGTGTGGATGTCCAGCATTCCCACACACCGACAAACCGAAAGGATGAGCAGTGCAACTCCCTGCCTGCCTGCTGTGTGGTGCCAGATTTGTCTTGCTGCCAGAATCAGTCAACTTATTGCTGAGGGTTTGTTTTTGTTTGGTTTGTTGTTTTTTTTTTTTCCTCCTCTTGCTTTTGGTTTGCATGCACTTCTAGAGCTGGGTAGGGTAGAGAAGGAGGGGACTAATCAGCACCCCAACACTAGTGGGGTGATAATAAAATATCAAAAGCTTTTCAAAAAGGAAAAATTGGTTTGGATATGTCATTACTGCAGTTCATAACCCAGTGAATCTGCAAGAGGAGGAGGAAAATAGAAAGGGAACCAGGAAATTAATAGCGACAAATCAGATAAACATGTCAGGTTTTTTGGCTAAATATAAGTTAAGATACTGAAGGATGTAGAAATTAGACACTAAAAGTCTATTTACAGCTGTCACTTTGGCAAAGAAATGGTCTAAGCTGGTGGGGAGCTGGGTGCTGTGACCCTCCCCAGCTCAGGAGAGTGAAATCCATCCTTACCCCAGTGGGAAGGTCAGCCCTCACATCCACTGCCACAGGGCTGAGTGGCCCCTCTGGGAACAGCACAAGGGCTGGGTGGGCCTGACAGCAGCACAGGGAAGGGAACAGTCTGGACTGCCCCATACCTTGAAGGCACTACAAAGTTAAGGTTCTTAGTTGGCTTTAAAAATTCTCTTGACTTAATTACCAGCAATATTGCTCTAATGTCAGTAGGAGCAGGGTGAAGCCTAAAGAGAACAACAAGATTTTAGGGTGTTCAGATGTTTAATCTTTTCTATAGGACAAAAAAACCAAGCCACTCTGCTTCCCACAACTGAATTTTGAAAGTGTTGGGTTTGGAGTAGATGCAGAATTACTCAGTTATCTTACTTTTTAAGCAATATTTACAAAATTTCAAGCAGCATTTGTCACCAGATACTATAATCCAGGATCCCAGTGCTTAAGTGTGGCCAATAAATAATAACATATTCCCTTTGTTATGACAATTATCTTCCTCTACTCTCCCATCACATGTCATTCTTGCAAGAAAAAAAATGTTTTCTTTCTTTTTTTTTTTTAAATCTCCTGTGCCAACATGACTGAGATTCTTCTACCATCTTTAGCTAATTGTGAATTGCATGGTAAGTGCCTACTTACCTCTCCAAATTGAAATGATTAGTCTTGCATGGTTTGAAAACCTATTTTAAGCAGCGTACTTTGGAAATAATTGCAACCACAGGGGGGAAACATCTAGGGGTAATATTTTAAGATCTTTGTTCTGTTCCCCTTGGAAGCAGCTTTGAGAATTATGTATTTTCAATTGCAGTTTCTCTCTCTCCCAGAAACACTTGCCTATTTTTCCATGTTGTTGCATCTGCAATGCTTTAAATTTATCAGTGGTGCTGGTTCTTCAGCTGGATTTGTCAGGGCAGTCTATGGAGCTCCTGGTGGGTCCTAATAAAATCAGCTGGGCTCCACACAGAGCAGTCTAGACCTCTCTGGTTGCAACTTGGACCTGATGCTACTGTGCATATCAGGAGGGCTGTTTAAAATGAAGATATGGGTTGTTTCCAAAACAAACTAGAGAGAAAATTCTCTAGTTCATCTGGCATGCCCTCACTGCTTTTCTAGAGGTTCTGTCAAAATCCCAAGGCCTCCCAAAGAAAGCAAAACAGATGAGAAAAAGCCCCTCTAAAACCACAGCACTGAAAGCTGCTGTCGCTTGATATAACAGCCCCTGAAGTCTTGTCCTGCAGGGTTTTTCTCTCTTAAACTCTCCTTGAAACTAGCAGGAGCTAGAATTGAGCCCAGGCTCAGCCTCCCAGCGTGCAAGAAACCAGGGTGCTTCACTGCTCGAAGGCAGCCCATAGCTAAATGTTTCCTCCACAGCATGACAGTACCAGTTTGGCAAAACCAAGCAAACACAAACCTGACTTTAAATCAGGTTTTACATCCTAATATCTGACCTTATACCAGACTTTGAGCTTCAGCAAAGATAATGCAGGTTAGTGCTCTGAGATGTTCTCTTCACCTGCTGTCCTCAGCTGAGGTGCCCTGCAGGACCCCTGGGTGTTGGTGGCATGCAAACCTACAGAAGCTACTGAACCCAAACCTCAGGAAATATCCCACCAGTGAGTTAAGAAAACGTTAAATAACTGTCCTGTTCTGAGTATTGTCCCTTACTGACATTCGATTAATGGTCGTAATGTTTTCAATCCAGGAGTATTAAATGTAACCTTTCTTAATCTTGGTCAACTCCAGTTTTCTACTGAGATATGTTCCTGTGTGCTATTTTTGGCTTTATTTAATTAAGTTATTCTGGATAAATGCATCAATATTTCCTAATCAATCTTAAAGTAGTTAGAGGAAAGGCAAGCTTGCCATGCATCCTCAGTAATGCCAGGTTTTGCAAGGGAAGAAAAAAACATTATGAGAGAAGGTTATTAAAATATTGAGTAAACTTGTTTCTGTTAAAGCTGTAATTGAATTTTTAAAGCCCTGGCCCATTTTAAACACTGAACTTTAGTTTATGGTTTGATAATTCATTTCACTTTCATTTTATAGGCTTTATTTTATAGCTACTAAATATCTATGGGCCATCCCTTGTTCCTTTTCCTTTCAGATTGTGAAATAGGGCATTCAAATGGAGGATTAAAAATAAAAATCATAATGCCAAAATAGATGTGATATCAATCGGTTCCCAGATAAATGTACTGTATCAAGTGCTTGTTGAGATTTAGGAGTATATTTTTCTGGTCTACTCAACTGGGAGTGCAATCAAGTCTTTGCAGAGTTGGAGAATAGGAAACTTTAATAGGTTGTAATAACCATCAAAGCAGAGGAAAAAACTCGTTGTTGGTCCTAGCAAGAATCAAAACTCTTAGTTTCCTTAATGTTAGGTCAGGAGTCTGGTGCTGGGTCCTGTCCTGAGTCTGAGGGTGGATGTGGAGCCATAGTCGGGAGAGTTTTTGGTTGCGTCCATGGGTACAGCATTTACAATATTTAATTTCACTACCTTTGACTTTTTACTGGAGGATATGAACTGTGTGCCTAAAAACTGATTTTTCCATGTGAATTTTACACAGCCTAGCATGAAATTAAGCAGTTACTTTTTTCTTGCACAATCCATGTAAAACATAGCCACTTGTCCACGGGCAAGCGGCGCTCTGTAGCTTTGGAATACCCCACACTGTAGTAAATGTGGTTTATTAAAAAAAAAAGTGTGATGAAACTATGTCTTTGCTCCCTTTTGCACCCTGAGGTGATCATTTCCAATAATAAAGTGAGTATAATGTGATGTGCCCTGTCAAAGTTAAGGAATCTCTTCTTGATCATGCATCTGTAGGTAGAATATTAAGTTGTGGAAACACGAGATACAGCCAAATTATCCTGGTGATTACATGTAAAATGCATGGTTTTTTAGCCAAACCATCATGTCCTGCGAGTGCTTCAAATGCAAAACAGGCTGTTTATAGAGACTACCTCAAACTGGCACTGACAAATGATCTATATGCTGTAGAGGCTCAGAGCAGTACAAAGACAGGATTTTACTCCCCATCACTCTGCCTTGTAGACACTCCAGATAATTTTTCAATAATTCTGTGTCCTACAAGAGGAGACACAGGGTTTTATTTCACTTTTTCACTCAGTGGCACTGTAGGTCAGTGAAAGTCTGGGAATATGTTTAGACTGGAGGATGGAATAAAAGCTTGAAAAGGGTTGCAAAGGCAGGTTTAGCACAGAGGTCACTAACATGGAGAAAGCCCAAACCCATGAGATTGAGAATGCTTTACTGAACAGTAAAGAAAAGAGAGAGACTGCATGTCTTTCATTGTCCAAGAGGGCAGGAGGGAGGTTACTTGGTGTCCACGTGAAAAAGTGATGATGGGGACACTGCTGGGAGAAGAGGATGAAGGTCAAGTGTGAAATAAAGTTGAGAGGATAATAGTGTGGAACTGGGATGGGGAAGGCAGAGAGACCCTGGAGCCGTGAAAGGCCCATCCAAGTAGGGAAAGGGTCTGTGAGTGCAGCAGTGAAACACCTTGGCCATTTTCTCCCCTATCAGAGGCCCCAGCGAAATTAAAGCCCAGAGTTTATAACACACAAGCTACGTGTGCCTTTGTATATCCTGTCCTCAAGCAGAAAATCCTCCCGTGCTATGTCATGTTTTGTCCCTCACAGGCCATGTTCTCCATGACCTCTATATGTGCTGTTCTGCATTGCCCTGTCATTTGAGTAGAAAGTATCTTAAACCCAAGAGATTTTCAAAACATTGATACATAGTGTTTTATGGGGTTATTTGATCTTTTAAAGGCTCGGTCTGGTGCATTTGGAGAGGCAGGTGAAACAGCTCCCGAGTGTCCCTTGGCCTGGAAGAATCCATCCCTCCTACAGGAGACTTTTCTGGACAAATATTTAAAAGTCTCTTGGGCATTACAACAAAAATGGAGAAAGACTTGTTATGATGAGATGGAAAAAAGCTGAATAATTGCTGCTATATCACAATGTATACTGTTATAAGGGAGACAGGAATGTGACCATCTCATGGAGGCATTGTATCCTTTGGCAGATGGGTGCAACCAACAGAAGTTAGGAGACTTTCATGTCAGGTGTACCAGGTGTAAAAAATGAAGGTTATATTTTCATTGCAGCAGTTCATTACTACTGTCTAGGAACTGGCTACCTTGGATTACTGCAAGGCCCCTGGCTGAATATTTTTACAGGATTTTTAAAGACAGTGATCTTCTTGAGCTCAATGAAGGATTGATTTGTGTCTCCTTGCCAATGCTCAGACAACCTGTTCTTGAAGTCCCATGAAGACATAAAGGTACATGCTCTTTCCAGGCAGTCCAGCACTTTTGCTTCCTGATAACAAATACATAAACTTATCATGATGTCTAACCTAACTCTTCCTTCACTGTAGATTCAACCCCTTAACTTTCATCCTTTCTGTTATGCTTGTGCAAAGCTGAGTTTCCCTTCCCTTTGCAACAATC